GCTTCAGCCTGACATTGAGAGGCTGGTCAAAGCCAAAGACCAGCTTCATGTGTCTCACTAATAGTGTCAAACTGCTGCTGTTTGCTGTTAATATGGACATGCATATGGACATAATTTGTGGCTAAATAAAGATTCATTTGCTTTGTATTTGCTTCCTGTTCTTTGTACAAAGAGTGAAATGTTAAATACCTTTATAATAAACACATTTCAATCAAAGTGCACCAGGAAAACGCCCTCAGCCCAGTAACGCATTTTCATTTTGGCCCTCTGAGGGGAAAAGTTTGGGCACCCCTGCTCTAATGTAAGTGTTTTAGTAAGTGGACTTATACCTGACTAAATTAATAAGGGCTACACCCAATGAGTTATTGATGTAGTGAGACATCTTGCTGAGCCACAGCAGATCATCAGTGATATCAGCAGGGGCCACTGGGTGTTTCACTTTTGAACATCATACACCCCTCACCCAGGCGACCCAGCTGAGGTTAATGAAGCCTCTGCCCTAGCTAGCTGTTGCCCACAGATTCACCCTCTTGATCCATAGCCATGACAAGGCTCTCTCAGCAGCCTCTGTGCTGTTCCGAATGGCTTTTTCTTCTCCCCTGTGATGCCAAGCACAGTAAAGGCCCTGCAAAACCCTTCTACCTAAGTGCCACAGGCCGGGATGACTTTTTCTTGTGGCATGCCCTGACCCGACTGTCGCACCTCTACTTTTTCCTGTCAGAGGCCTCTTCCATCACACCTCCTATAGTGCAGTGAGCTCCAGCATGTGCTTGTTGCCTTCAACACCAGTACTATTTCTGACTTTAATCTCAGACTTCTGACTTTAAGGTTGATGTTTTAAAAAAGTCAGAATTCAAAGTTTAAAGTCAGAACTTTTGTTTAGTTTTTTATAGTGGCCTTAATCCTTTTCCATACAAGTCAGAATTTTGAGATTAAAGCCAGATGATGTTGAAAAACATCAAATCCTCACATTTAAGAAGCTGGAACCATCATGTTTGGTATTTCTGCTTTAAAAATGACAGATTTGTCAATTATTAAATGGTTATTTAACTTAGTTATTTTTTTGTTCATTGACTAGTCATTGCAGCTCTGCTAAATTGCCTATAGGTGTAAACACTTAGGAATTAATGTGGTTCAGTGGGAAGAGCAGTTGCCTCCCAAACGGAGGGTCGGAGCCTGCAGTCTACATGTCGAAGTGTCCTTGGGCAAGACACTGAACCCCCAAGTTGTCCCGATAATTAGAGCCATTGGTTGAGTTGGTGCCGCAGATGGCTGCCTCGGTTCTGTACCAGAAACAAATTCTTTGTGTGTGACATACTTGGCCAAATAAAGGGGATTATATAGGAAAATAGATTTTAAAAGTAAATTCAATTTCATCACGAGAAAATCTTAAATATTACAGTGATATACAGTATTTCTTTGCATTGCCCAGCCCTGACCTTCACCATATAAACATAATCTGTTGGCCAACATTTGTAATAGTGAGGTACTTGGAGTGAGATGTGTGCCTAGAGTAACCATGGGTGTTTTAACAGGGAGTCCTGACATTTCATGATTACCTGCTACAGATCAGTGTGGACATATACAGTAATTGCACTTGAGTATAGTATGTACTTTTTCTCATAGAAACCACTCATTTTGTATCATAGGTGATTATTGTTGACTGTTTTTGTATACTGTCAAGATATAGTAGCACTGATGTAGTGAAGACCACACAAGGTAACAACAGAACAGGCTAATGAGTAAATGAAGTCTAAACCTAGGCAGTTGGAGACTGACTGTTATCAGTGTTTTAGAAAGTGCATTAACAAGAGCTTCTTTCATAATATTGTGCACATAATGAGCAGTGTAAAAAAAAAATTTTTTAAAGTCAGAAAAAGGATTACTGCATGTTAGTATATTGGCTAATGAAAGAGAATGCACTGAAATAGAAAATGTTTACTGTTGATTTGTACATGCAGTTTACCTCTGCTTTTACACTCCAACATGCCATTTAATGTTATACAAAGAACTCTGAAGATGGTTGTAATATGTATTTGTAATACTGGTGCATCAGTTTTACCTGGTATTTTATATTCCATTTGAACAGGTACTAAAGCTATACACCTGAGAAATGATGTAACCTTTTGATTTTCACTGTACACCAACTGTTCATACAGATATTAGCATTAAAGCTTTGTATCAAGTTTCATCTATTAAGGGTCTTAGCACTGCTTATCAGTTACCAATATATGGCATTGATGCCATTTTACTTGTGTTGCTTTGAGTACATTTTGCTGACAAAGTTTATAGGCTGCCTATGTATGTAGTTTAATTCCTCCTGAGCGACAGTGAGATAATTAGTTCAGGTATGGGGAAAAAAATCTTAGTCCTGTCTTACATGCTTAAAAAATTTTTTTATTTCTCACACTCTTGCTTTTAATGAAATACTGGATAACTGTGGCTCTGTGGGTGTCAGACGGTTACTGATACCATCTGAGAAGTGAAGGGACCCTGCTAGACATTAATCACAATTTATATTGTAAAACTACAGCTGTCATATAAATGTAATGGAGTAAAACATACACAATCTCAAAAGCTGTAACTGTGAAGTTTAACTGTTGACTATCAAAATTGGTGCCACTTAATTTTCTGTCAATTATTTCAGCTCTTGCGTTTGTTAGTTTGCAAAAAAACAACTGCTGTCAGATATACTCTATACAAGTACAGTATTTTTCCTCTGAAATGTAGTGGAGCAGAAGTACAGATATCTCAAAACTATACTCAACTACAGTACTTAGTTACATTCCACCACTGCCGAGATGACAGAAACCCCAGAAGATCAAAACCACCATTAAAGGATTATGATATGATCATTTCTCATGATTTTCCAGCTGTATGTTAGGGCATAAGCACAGTCATGTTTCTACGCTGTTTAAACGTTTGAGTCTAAGCTTGTCATCTATTAATGGGCAGCTAATTATGTTCATTATCAATTAATATGCCAGTTATTTTCTTAATAAATTAACTGTGATCCAAAAATTTTGTAATTAACAGCCCAAAACTGAGAGGTTTGTTGTTTAGTTTATAATGAAAGTCCAAGAAACCAGCAAATATTAACATTAATTACTGCACTGCAGACTCACACCGGTAACCACATATACAAGATGACACATCTCCTCAGTTTGTACAACATAAAAATGAACATTACCCTACAGGAAACAGTGTGCAAAGTAGAAATGGTTTATTTTTTGAATTTATTGAAATTAATCCATTAGCCTGTTGCACAGTAACCATTTGATTTTAGCTTCAAGACAAGGCCAAACATCTTTAAGATGCCATTTAGCTTTATTTTTTCCAAATTCAGTAAAAGATTATAATTTACTGACATGAGAAGAACCACAGCATCATTTCTTTTCTTCTTCAAGAACAAATTTAAAGTAGTATGTTAAAGTCCTTAGAGTTCTTGTTTACATGCGTACAAAACTGCTGGAGCAGCACATCAACATTTCTTAACCTTGTGCTACAAATTCTAAATGCCACACTTTAAACACTGATCAAAGCTCACTCTCACCTAACAAAATAATATTGCACTTAACATCCTTACACACCAACCATTATTCTCACACTTAAAATATACTGAGGTCCTTGCCTTTTGCATTCACACAAATGTAGATTATCCTCATACAGAAACATCAGTAAGAAAGTCATAAAAAAACAAAACAAACAAAAACAAAAAACACAGGGGGGCTAGAAATTAGACTAGTTTTCAAAGGGAACTGTTCTGCACTATACTTGTACAAATCTCATGTTTCTTTCCAAGTGCTATGCAGCAAGAAGAATAGTTTTCTTTAAAATAAAAAGCCAACAGTCTACTGCTCGTCCTCATTTTCCTGGCTCGAACCTTCGGAGCGATCACCTTCTAGTCGATCTACAGGAAAAAGAAAAAAAAAGACAAGTAGAAAAACAACAAATTGTACTCCAAGTAAATAGTTTGTGGTCCCAGGAATTAATAGGCCCAAATAATCAAATAATTTGCAAGGGAAAAAAATTACTGTGTGTGTGTGTACCTGATCTGATGTGATTAAGGGAGGCTAGCATTCGGAGCATGAAAGAGGCTGGGACTGTGATTGTGTTTCTTGTTTCCTCTAGCATCAGCTCGTTCCGAGTTATTACCTTGAATAAGAAGAAAAGTGGAGGGAAAAGATGCAAATTAACATGAAGAAACCTGAATCCAATAACAGAAAAAAAGAAGTTTTGCCAGAGAAAGGAAACATTATGACAAATTTAGCCTAGAAGGCTGTGGTAAACAAAACAAGGGTACTACAGTGAATAATCATTTGTATAGGTAACGTATGAGATCAGTCTCATTATTATGAGAAAGGCTGTTATAATTACAAGATTAGGATCTCGTAATTATGAATGCCATAATTACGAGATCTTTTTTGAGCTAGGGTTGGAATGCTGCAAAACTTGCCTGAAAATCTTCAGGTTTTAGCAAATTCTTTAGTATCAATGTAATTCAGTGGTAGTTGCCAGTACATCCAATAGTGCATAGCAAAAGTGTACTGTGAATAGCTAATTCGGCATTTTTAGTGTTCCAAAACGCTAACAACAGGCCTCAAAGTTGCTGCCTTCAGTGCAACTCACTACATGTACTGAGCAGAAAAACTTTAGAACCTGCTTGAGAAACGCTGGGTTTTTAAGATTTCTTCAGTATTAACATAATTCTGTCATTGTCATACAATAGCGTATAGCAAAAAGGAACTGATAATAGTTCATTTGGCACACTTAGCGTTCTAAAACAAACAAATATAGGCTATCAATGGCAGCATTATACTTGCTGTTTGTTGTAATAGTATCTGTTCACGATTTAACTTTTAATGTTTAGTGACATTTTCCAAAATACTATGCAAAAAATTATTTAAGCTCATATCACTATAGATAGCCTAATAGCATATAGAATCTTTACAACACAGGTAGCCTATAATGCCCGTCTTCTCAAATAGCAACCATAACCTAGTGTATTACAAAATTCTTATCTCAGGATCTTGTAATTATGACAAAGCATTAAACTTTAAATAATCATAACTCGTGCAAACGGATATAAACTTGGACAAGAGTTTGTACAACATAAAAATGAACATTACCCTACAGGAAACAGTGTGCAAAGTAGAAATGGTTTATTTTTTGAATTTATTGAAATTAATCCATTAGCCTGTTGCACAGTAACCATTTGATTTTAGCTTCAAGACAAGGCCAAACATCTTTAAGATGCCATTTAGCTTTATTTTTTCCAAATTCAGTAAAAGATTATAATTTACTGACATGAGAAGAACCACAGCATCATTTCTTTTCTTCTTCAAGAACAAATTTAAAGTAGTATGTTAAAGTCCTTAGAGTTCTTGTTTACATGCGTACAAAACTGCTGGAGCAGCACATCAACATTTCTTAACCTTGTGCTACAAATTCTAAATGCCACACTTTAAACACTGATCAAAGCTCACTCTCACCTAACAAAATAATATTGCACTTAACATCCTTACACACCAACCATTATTCTCACACTTAAAATATACTGAGGTCCTTGCCTTTTGCATTCACACAAATGTAGATTATCCTCATACAGAAACATCAGTAAGAAAGTCATAAAAAAACAAACAAACAAAAAAAAAAACACAGGGGGGCTAGAAATTAGACTAGTTTTCAAAGGGAACTGTTCTGCACTATACTTGTACAAATCTCATGTTTCTTTCCAAGTGCTATGCAGCAAGAAGAATAGTTTTCTTTAAAATAAAAAGCCAACAGTCTACTGCTCGTCCTCATTTTCCTGGCTCGAACCTTCGGAGCGATCACCTTCTAGTCGATCTACAGGAAAAAGAAAAAAAAAGACAAGTAGAAAAACAACAAATTGTACTCCAAGTAAATAGTTTGTGGTCCCAGGAATTAATAGGCCCAAATAATCAAATAATTTGCAAGGGAAAAAAATTACTGTGTGTGTGTGTACCTGATCTGATGTGATTAAGGGAGGCTAGCATTCGGAGCATGAAAGAGGCTGGGACTGTGATTGTGTTTCTTGTTTCCTCTAGCATCAGCTCGTTCCGAGTTATTACCTTGAATAAGAAGAAAAGTGGAGGGAAAAGATGCAAATTAACATGAAGAAACCTGAATCCAATAACAGAAAAAAAGAAGTTTTGCCAGAGAAAGGAAACATTATGACAAATTTAGCCTAGAAGGCTGTGGTAAACAAAACAAGGGTACTACAGTGAATAATCATTTGTATAGGTAACGTATGAGATCAGTCTCATTATTATGAGAAAGGCTGTTATAATTACAAGATTAGGATCTCGTAATTATGAATGCCATAATTACGAGATCTTTTTTGAGCTAGGGTTGGAATGCTGCAAAACTTGCCTGAAAATCTTCAGGTTTTAGCAAATTATTTAGTATCAATGTAATTCAGTGGTAGTTGCCAGTACATCCAATAGTGCATAGCAAAAGTGTACTGTGAATAGCTAATTCGGCATTTTTAGTGTTCCAAAACGCTAACAACAGGCCTCAAAGTTGCTGCCTTCAGTGCAACTCACTACATGTACTGAGCAGAAAAACTTTAGAACCTGCTTGAGAAACGCTGGGTTTTTAAGATTTCTTCAGTATTAACATAATTCTGTCATTGTCATACAATAGCGTATAGCAAAAAGGAACTGATAATAGTTCATTTGGCACACTTAGCGTTCTAAAACAAACAAATATAGGCTATCAATGGCAGCATTATACTTGCTGTTTGTTGTAATAGTATCTGTTCACGATTTAACTTTTAATGTTTAGTGACATTTTCCAAAATACTATGCAAAAAATTATTTAAGCTCATATCACTATAGATAGCCTAATAGCATATAGAATCTTTACAACACAGGTAGCCTATAATGCCCGTCTTCTCAAATAGCAACCATAACCTAGTGTATTACAAAATTCTTATCTCAGGATCTTGTAATTATGACAAAACATTAAACTCTAGTCATAACTCGTGCAAATGGATATAAACTTGGACAAGGAACAAATTTTTAAGTAGGCTATAAACCACGTAATGTTGCCATGGATGCAACATGGTACAATGTGAGTGCCATTTTTAGCCTCGGCTATATTTGATTACAATTTGGAACACTAAGTAAGCCAACTTAGTTATTAGTAGGGGTGTGACGATAGACTTTATTATACCAGACAATACTGGGTTCATGAGAACAAGAAGAGATGATGTTTTAACGCTATTTTTAAGAAATCTTCAATGACGAAACATATGACTGGAAAAATAGTCTTTGACTCAAAGTCATAAAATGCAAAACGACGCAGGTGCATTTTGAAATTTTTAAGTAACCACAAACTAATGAATGTCACTTCAGTTCTACTTTGAGTATGAATTATATGCAGTAAAAAAAAAATTCATACTATGACTATGTCATAACTATAAAACGTTTTGCCACAAATTCAATTGACTGGCTTCTCTCCTGTGTGATTTCACATGAGTTTCTTTAGATCTTATAACTGTCCATGAACTATATATGAGCTTTAACTTCTAACTGAATCTGTGTGTGAACTTCTATGCTGTTTTGATCCTCACCACACCGGAAGAGGACATCATCCAGCAAATGTGCTGCGTTGACCAATCATGTATGGGGGACGATCGGGACACGGATGCCCACGGGAAGAAAACTCTTTTGTTTACCTTGTTAGCATGAACATTCACTGCTGTTCACTGTTGAATTTGGGCCACAGTTAATGCACCAGAACAACACGGCATGCATTTTCATTAGTAGGGGATGTTATTAAAATTGAATTGGACATTAGAATTGGTGCTAAGATAGAGAGGGCTACGTTAGCAGCATGGCTAACCAAAACGCAATGGAAACTCTCAGGCTGGAAACATGAATGAAGCCGCTCACGTCAACTCGTCCCAACGTGGCTGTACTGTACATGCCTACAACACTGCCCCTGCATTCCCTCAACCCCCCGACCACTCCTGTGTGATTTCACATGAGTTTCTTTAGATCTTATAACTGTCCATGAACTATATATGAGCTTTAACTTCTAACTGAATCTGTGTGTGACCTTCTATGCTGTTTTGATCCTCACCACACCGGAAGAGGACGTCATCCAGCAAAGGTGCTGCGTTGACCAATCATGTATGGGGGACGATCGGGACACGGATGCCCACGGGAAGAAAACTCTTTTGTTTACCTTGTTAGCATGAACATTCACTGCTGTTCACTGTTGAATTTGGGCCACAGTTAATGCACCAGAACAACACGGCATGCATTTTCATTAGTAGGGGATGTTATTAAAATTGAATTGGACATTAGAATTGGTGCTAAGATAGAGAGGGCTACGTTAGCAGCATGGCTAACCAAAACGCAATGGAAACTCTCAGGCTGGAAACATGAATGAAGCCGCTCACGTCAACTCGTCCCAACGTGGCTGTACTGTACATGCCTACAACACTGCCCCTGCATTCCCTGTGCAGCTTGTGCATTAAAACTAGGGCTGTCAATCGATTAAAGAATTTAATCAAATTAATCACAGTGATGGACTGTGATTAATCACAAATTTTAAATACTATGATTTACCTGTAAATGTGTTGCAATAAAGAAATGCATGGCAAACTAGATTAAGGTAACATATCCTCCAGTTTTATTATCTCAACAATTAACATATATATTATACCATTTCAGAAATGAAATGTCTGCAAAAACACAAAATGAACACTGTACATTCTTGATCTGATGTAAAGAAATGTATAACAAAACTAGTTTAAGGAAACAGATCCTCCATTTATCTCATCAACATTTCTATTATAGGTCTATTTTAGAAATTAAATGTCTGTACAGAGACAAAATGATCAGTCTCTACAAGTGTTCATCTAGGCAAGATTCCTCCTGCTAACCAATCATACAATATACTCTTCTTTCAGCCAGTTGCTCAGACAGACTAGCTTATTAACATTTTCAGATGAAAGAGCACGGCTTGTTGATGCTGTATCAGCACTGGCATCTTTACTAACATCTGCCAAAATATGTTTGGCCCAAAGATGGTACTTCAGACTTGTTGTTCTTCGGTGAAAGGGCAGTTCATTACTACAATAAATGCACACAACTTTGGTTTTCTCCAAACTTCCATCTGGAAGCTTTTTATAACGAAACTTGCCGTTCAGCACACCAGGCGTTGTGTTTTCTGCCATCGCTATATAAATAGCGATGCTATATAAATACAGTCCATTTAAGACCTATTCTCTGATTTCCTACCTCATCAGCGAGGACCCTGTTAAAAGATGCCGACTCTTCCAGTGGCGACCAAATCTTGATATCATAGTCTATCCCTGAAGAAGCCAGAACTGAAACAGATGAGAAAATGAAAATTAAATTAACATGGTAGCCTGCACCAAGATGATGCGGTGTTGTAGTGAATCAGATGAAGCTGAGGTGGGACTCACTGGGGTCATAGGGGTGCGGCTGCAGGCAGTTGACCACGTGGTTGTCGGCTTCGAGCAGCATGAGATGCTCCGCAGTGTGTCTGTCCCAAATGAAGATGTGGCCACAATCTGAACCG